GACATGGGAAAAACCTTACAATCTTATTTTATTCAACTTAATCTTAATTAATTCATTTCCACAAGTATTTATTAAATGCCTAGTTCTATAGAATAATATTCTAGAATCTTGCAGAAGGAAAATAATTTCCTATAACCTTTACCTGCAGGTCTTAAAAGTAGTCGACAACCCAGAAAGTCTAGGGGAACTAGTGGAAGAAAAAATTTACTAGGCTACTCTGGTACTTTTCACCAAATATTACTGCAAACAAATTCTAAAAACATAAGAAAAGCATTATGAAACCCTTATAGAAAACATGGCAAACGAGTCATTATTTCCTGACAAATACAATGGGTACCACTGCAGTTTTTGAGAAATATTGTTTTGTTTTTAGATGAGACATCTTTATACTATTTCTTAGGCTCATGGCTTCTATGAAGAAACTTTATATTGGCTAGTGCTAAGCTATGACCATGTAAGGACAGATAATTTAAATCAATTCAAAATTATTTTAAGTGCCTACCATGTGCCAGATATTATGTTGGTTCAATGTAAGTGTTCAGCCTCAAAAAGCTTAAAATTTAATAAAAGATATAACATGTACACAGATAAATACAATGCAAGGAAGAGTGTAATCAGGGCAAAAGAAAAAGGATCTTGGCAAAGTACTATAAAGAAGTATAACATAGAAAAGATTAAGAGGTTAACATTGAATTCTGTTCCTGAAGATCAGCTATTTATTTTTATTGACTTCCTAGCACACTGTAGTACAATTCGAAGACCACTGGATTTGGAATCAGAGAAGGCTACCCTTCCTACATGACCTTGGGCAGCCATTTAACTGTAAAAGGAGGGAGTTGTTCTAAGCAATCCCTACATTCCCTCTCAATTCTACATCTGTGAGCTTTACAAGGTATGAATTATTTAACACAGAGAAGATTCCAGAGATAATCATGGGTTTTGAGTGTACAAAGGATGACTATGCAAAGAATTATGTTATTGATTCCATCAATACATAAAATTGAATAAGAAAAAAAGAACTCAAGTTACAGCTTGCCAATAAAGATTGTTATTTGTTATAATGAGTAGGCAAGGAAGGATATTTAAATCTCTTCATTTATGTTTCATCGATACTCAGAAATTGTAGTCAGTGAAGAATTAAGAAGTGTTGAGCAAGCAAAAAGTAAATGAAAAACTAAACAAACAGATGAATAAAGGAAAAAAGAAAATTAATTGAACTCTTTGGAATGAGTAGTAAAAATCAATGAGGTGAAAATAGTTTACTCTAAAAAATGAACGAGGTAAAAATGCACCATTTTGTCCTTAGGGAATTATGTTTGCTTCATCAGCACAAACTACCACCCTAGAGATGCCATGAGAACCACTATCCAAGCATAGTACTATTTTTGAGTCATTTGGCCAAAGAATGAATTGTCCTCCTGTGTTCCCTCAGAGAGGCACTTTGGCATAGAGGAGACAGTACCATACTAGTTGGTTCTAGAGTTCCTACAGTTCAGAGAAGCTGTGTTCTAGTCCTGAAACTGTTGCTTGCTAGCCAGAGGAACATAGGCCTTTCATTTACCATACCATCTCTTGACATTGGGTTTCTCATATGTAAAATGACAAAATTGGACTAAATGATCTCTACTCAATATTTGTACAAATTTATATGTTTACATTCTAGCTTATTAACATGTCACTCTCCTACTCAACCAACTCTAAAGGCTTCTTATTGCCTCTAGGATAAAATATAAGCTCTTTTGTTTAGCTTTTAAAACTCTTCAAAGCCTGGCCCCCAACATGTCTTTCTAGCCTGGCCCCCAACCTGTCTTTCTAGGGTCAATGGACATTATTCTCCCTCCCACACTCTGCAATCCAGACAAACTGCCTTTCTCTATGTTTCTCCATACACCATATACCTCCAAGTCTTGGTCGTGCTTGCCCCCCATGCCTGTACTGCACCCTCTTCTTTAGCCTCTTATATGCTAGGAGCTTAATGAATACTTGTTGACTGACTGACTTCTGCTTTATGTAATTCCTCTCCTCTTTCTAGATGAAGTTCAACCACCTTCTACGTGAAGGCTTTCCTGATCCTCCTCTTGCTCCCCTTCCACCCACTGCTAGTACTTTCCTCTTGAGCTATCTTGTATTAAACTACTTTGTCTTTATTTTATTTGTTCTCCTTATATTTATTTTTTATATATTTATATATGTTCTTGTCTCTCCCATTAAAACGTAAGCTGAAAAGTAGGAATTGTTTCAGTCTTTATATCCATAGCACTTAACTAAATGCCTGACACATCATAAATACTTAATGAATGTTTTTTGGTTGATTGAATTTGTGTAAGTCATTCACTTTCTTTGGACCTCATTTATCTCATCTATAAAATAGACTTTATGGTAGCATAAGATTTGGATCTAAGGAGCTGGGTATAGCCTCATTTCTATCTTCTTGCCTCATGGAACCCCTTCTCTTCCAATTAACCCAGGACCTAATTAGCTGGCATCTCTCCTAGACTGTCTTTTTTTAAAAAAAGTATAATTGATAACTTTTGTTCCTCTATTATGTTATGTATTATGTTATGTTATGTTGTATTATATTGTACATTATATTGTATTGAATCATTATATGTGTGTATATATGTGTGTATGTGTATATATATAATATATATATACATATATGTATACATATATATACATATATACATATACACACACATATATACATATATACACATATATACATATATACATATATATACATACACACACACACACACACACACACACACACACACACACACACACACATATATATATATATAGTGTGGTCATTCCAGATATATCTCCCTACCTCAACTCCACCCCTACTGATCTCTCTCTCATAATTTTAAGTGACCTCACCTCCATGAATGACACATTCCACTCTCATAGTTCCCCATCCCTCTATTGAAAGAAGAAAGGTTAAGTTCATCATGAATGCTCTGTTTCTTATCATCTCTCCACCGTTACCATTATTCAGAGTTCAGCTCTTTTTTTTTAGTGATCTTTTTGTCAGTATAATTGTAGTAAAACCCCTCTCCTTTCCACTCACATGGTGCTGATGTGACTATACCCAGAATCCTTAGCTGAGTAGCCTTGCCTTGCCTAGATACACTTGCCTGGGTTTCTGGATTTTTCTGGATCCCAGAATATAGAAAGAGACCATACCTGGATTAATACTGCCCTTTCCCTCAAGCATGGAAGTGTCCCCTCCCTCACAGTTGCTGTTCTTTTCTGTTTCAAGGTTAGATAAGTTCAGTGTTCTTATCCTGGAAAGCAACATGAGGGGCTCAGGCTGAGTTATGTTCATAAAGGTAAAGGATAGGGGTCACCACAGCCTAAGCTTGACATGTAAGCCTATTGAGTCTGTACAGGGCACATATCCCACAGGCTCGCTGAGTGACTGAGAGCTTTGGACAGCTTGACCCTTTTTTTGTTTTTTCAGGAGCCTTCACATTGTTTGGAAGCATATCCTGCTTTCCCTTCATGCTGCAATTCTAATTATTAGAATTTCATTTCTTTTCTTGCTTTGAGGTCACAGGGTAAGGAAGTTATGCTGAAAACCATTTACGTTACCATCTTGGTGTATTTTTATTGCTGGCATTTTCCCTAATTGCCTGGATTCCCTACAACCAGGACCCCTGCAGAGGGAAGGCATTAGATTTTTTTCTTCTTTCCTCTTCCTGTCCCAGAGTGTTCAACCTGATAAGACTTTACCAATGTCTTTGACTGTTTAAATAGTATTTATTACAGTCACTGCAGGGATAGGGAGGGGGCATACAAAGGGATATACAATAACTGGTTAAAAAAAAAAGGAATAACAATATACAAGTTTTAAGGCTGTTATGGTTTCATCCTGATTCCATAACCAACTACAGGGCATAGACTCTACTCCTCCTACCTTTTCTGCCAAGTCCAATCTTTGACACAATGGATTTAGATGGAAAGGCTGTCTCTCAGCCTTGCTAAATCTAGTTTACCCAATGTTCCATCATATGAATGAAAAGGTAGGACCAAAGGCCACAGTTCTTAACCTGGGATCCCTGAAATTTTTGAAAAAAAATTTTATAACTGCATTTCAATATAATTTGTGTCCTTTGTAATACTATGAATTTTATTTTATGCAATAAAAACATTATTCTGAGAAAGGACACAGAATCTTCACCAGGCAACCAAAGAAGTCCATAATACGAAAAAAGGTTAACAATCCCTATACTAGAGTCCTCAAAGCTTTGTCATTCACAAGAATCTTCATCTTATAACTTGCATGTGCTGAATTTTTTTTTTACCCTACTTCACCTTCCAGTCTAAAAGCAAGAAAGGTCTTTCCCTATCTTGGTCTCAAAATCATCTCCGTTCTCAGCATTTCCTCTTGGTCACCACTCCTAATCTGAAGACCTCGGAACCTGAAAATTTACTGCCTCTCAGTTGCCCCCTATTCTCTATTGTCAGTTTCAATTTCCTGAAACAAATTCTATCTACAGGAACTTCCTGACTAACTTAGCCCTAGATGGTGAAATCACCTCTTCCACCTATGCTTTACGCATGTCCTGGGCTCCACAGATCATTGGCCATCCCAGACCAAACTTCTTTCTCATTCTGAATTTCCATCCCTTTGTGGCTCTACCCTCATTTTCCAAGTTATGCACATGTCCAAGAGCCACTGAGAAATGAGCACCTTTCCTTAACCATGCTACTGATGCTAATCACTGCATGGGGAAACTAGTTATCAGATTGGATTTGAAATCAGGAAGACCTCCTTTCAGCATTTACCTCAGACATTTACTAGCTACATGATCCTGCACAAATCATTTAAATTCAGTTTCTTCATCTGTAAAATGAGAAGGTTGGACTTAGTGTCTTTAAAATACTTTCTAGCTCTAAATCTATGATGCTCTTTTTGCTCCTAAAAATGTTTTTAAAGTTCCTGTAAAAACAATATCAGTATATGCTCCTTTCCCCTGGTTAACCTTACCTACCTGAAGGCAGAGGCTAGACCAAATGACTCCTGAGGTCCTTTCCATTTCTAAGATCTCCTGTCTTATGATCATATCCTCTATGAAGTTATTGTTTTTAGCATATTTGATTGCTTAATGCCCAGCTCTTTACCTAGGAATACAATAAAGTGAAATTTCAAATTTAATTGCTTAAAAAATGTTTCTGTGCTAAGTTTTGCAACCAAATAATTATTTTTCTGGTTTTTTAGATGTGGAACCTTTAGTTTTCACAGTTTCTACATTTTCAACAACAATGCATTTATTCCCTCCCTGTATCATGTGCTCCATCTTTGTCTTTTCTAGCATCCTTTTAAAATTATGGGATTTCTACCTCATATTTGTCAGATCAGCCAATATGATGGAAAAAGAAAATGATAAATGTTGGAGGGAATGTGGGAAAATTGGGGCACTAATTCACTGTTGGTGGAATTGTGAACTGATCCAACCATTCTGGAGAGCAATTTGAAACTATGCCCAAAAACCTATACAATTGTACATAGCCTTTGATCCAGAAATACCACTACTATGTCTATATTCCAAAGAGATAAAAAAGGGGAGAGGGGTGGATTTATTTTTACAAGGGTATTTTAGCAGCTCTTTTTGTGGTGACAAAGAATTAGAAATTGAGGGGCTCTCCATCATTTGGGGAATGGCTAAATAAGTCATGTTATATGATTGTGATGGAATACTTTTGTGCTATAAGAAATAACAAGCAGGATGATTTCCAAAAAACCTGGACTTATATGAACTGATGCAGAGTGAAGTGAGCAGAACTAGAACATCGTACATAGTAACAGTAATATTGTACAATGAGCAACCATGAACAACTCAGCTATTCTCAGCAATACAATAATCTAAGAAAATCCCAAAGGACTCATGATAACAAATGTTATCCACCTCCAGAAAAATAATTGATGGTGTCTGAATTCAACCAAAGCATACCATTTTCCACTTTCTTTCTTTCTTTCTTTCTTTCTTTCTTTCTTTCTTTCTTTCTTTCTTTCTTCCTTTCTTTCTTTTGTTTGAGTTTTCTTCTACAAAATGGCTAATATAGAAATATGTTTTACCTGATTGCATATATCAGATTGTGCAACCTATATTAGATTGCTTACCATCTCAGGGAAGGGAGTGGAGAGGGAAGGATGGAGAGGATTTGGAACTCAATTTAAAAAAAAATGAACGTTAAAATTTGTTTTACATGTAATTTGGGGAAAATAAAATATTATTAAAAATAAAAAATAAAATGATGGTATTTGAGACACAATACACAGAAGCTAGATTCTTTTAGTCACTATGGCACCATCTTTGGACCCACTTAAGAGGGAAGATGGTCTTACCTTTATCTCTAGCATTAAAGCTATCTACTTCAATACCCTTGTTTTACATATGAATAAGCTGAGGCTAAGGGAGGTCCAGTAACTTGCCTAAGGCCACAAGTAGGAAGAATCAGAAGCAGAATTTTAACCCAGGTCTCTATATTTCAGTACCAGGGCTCTTTTCACTGTACCCAAAGATCTTCCCTGAGAACCTACCTGCAGCTTTGAAAATAAAGTCCCAGGCACTAAGCTTCCCTTAGATGTTTCCCAGGCAGAGAGAGCAGGGCAACCATGTAATCAAATCACTCAATAAACTCATTTTATCTCTTTATTTGTTCATTTATATTACTGAATGAAACAATCATTGCCTTGTTATTTTTCAATAGTCATTTTGTCAAACTGGTATTATCCTTATCTCTGGAAAGCATAGCTGCTTCTGTGTAATGGCCTCAATATCACATAATTTCCAATTAAAAATAAACAACTATGAAACAAGTCAATTGTCATCTCAGGATGGTTTAAGGTATTACTGCATGAAAATAATTTGAATAGAGGAGCTTTAAATCTCCTATACCCTTCCCAATTCCTGTCACTTAGATACTTATATACCCAAATGGGTCTGTTATTTCACCAGTATGGGTGTTTTCTACAATCATACAGATCTCACCCCAACAACACCTGCCCATCTTGTGTGACTATTGCTATGCCCTTCTATAAGTTCAAAAAAGGAGGTCTATTTAACACTCTGGAGATTTTCTTATCCTTTCCTGACATCTTGAAGACACCAGTTAAACATTTTGATTGTCTACTTATTATTCTCCCTTCTTACCATGTGACCACTCTATTTCCCTGGTAACATCTTTCACTCCAGTTCTTCCTCAAAGTTCCTTATTTGTTATGTGTCACAGCCTCCTCATACCTACCATAAACTTTTCCATTGCCCACTTTGTTGTACTCATTTTCAGTTCCTAAATTATCAGTGCCTATTCTTGACCAACTAATAACCACAATCAATAATTTTGCCAAACTTATCAATCCAACCACCAGAGAAACTTGTAAAATTCATGTCTTCTGCTACTGTGTGCTCTTGTCAAATCAATGAAAACTAAATAGAGTTTTTGGATTCTGTTAACTACTTCTTATTTACCTGCTATTGCTTGAATTGGAGAGGGAAAGGAAGTAGGAAAGCTGACCAGAGAACCCAGTTTTTTGATGCCATCTCAAGTCACTACAAAATCGATTTTGCTTTAGGGACCAGCCCATATCTATTAGCCATTATCCATCCATTCATAAAGGCTGGTTAAAACTGAGATAGGAGGGGGGCAGGTAGGTGGTGCAATGGATAGAGCACTGGCCTTGGATTCAGGAGGACCTGAGTTCAAATCTGGCCTCAGACACATAACACTTACTAGCTGTGTGACCCTGGGCAAGTCACTTAACCCCATTGCTTAGCCCCCCCAAAAAAAAAAGAAAGAAAGAAAACTGAGATAGGAGAAGACCCATATGTACAAAAATATTTATAGCAGCTCTTTTTGAGATGACAAAACACTATAAAATAAAGCATCTCCATCAATTGGGGTATGGTTGAACAAATTACGGTATATGGATGTAATAGAACACTATTGTGTTATAAGAAAGAAATGACAAAAGGGGAGGAGGGTAAAGAGAAATCTGGGAAGATTTGCATGAACTGAGGCAGAATGAAGTGCATATAAGTAGAAAAATGACTTACACAGTATCAATAACATTATAAAGACAAACAACTTTGAAAGGCTTAAGAACTCAGATCAATGGAATGACCAACCATGATTTCAAGAGACCAATGGTGAAGCATGCTACCCTCCTCTTGATTGAGGTGTGATGGACTAAATATGTAGAACGAGACATATATTTTCACATTTGGCCAGTGATGGAATTTGTTTTGTTTGACCGTGAATTTTGTTGAAAGATTTCCCAATCTTTTCTTTTTCTTTCTTTTTTTCATTTTATTATTTTTTGCAAAGGGTAGGGAGACAGGAGGAGCATAGATGGTTGTTTAAAAAATAGTAAAATTTAATTGGAAAAAAACTTGGTCAGAAGTTGCATGGCCTTCTTTTAATCCTCATCCTTCCTGACTTATCTGCAGGCTTTGACATTGTTGATCACTCTCTTCTCCTTGATGCCCTCTTCTCTCTAAGTATTCCCTCTCCTTATTCTCATCCTACCTGTCTAACTACTCTTTAGTCTTCTTTTATGGATCCTCATCCAACTCATACCTCCTAATGATGAGTGTCCCTCAATACCTTGTCCTGGCTTCTAGTCTTTTCTCCTTCTGTAAATTTCATTTGGTGATCTCATCAGCTCCCATGGTTTCAATAATTATCTCCATGCTGATGACTATTCAATCTGCTTATCCAGTCCTAACCTCTCTCCTAACTTCCAGACTCGAATCTCCAACTGCCTATTAGACATTTCATGCTGGATGTCTCATTGTTATCTTAAACTCAAACTGAACTCATCATCTTTCCCCAAAGCCCTCCTCCCTTCCTAAATTTCCTATTACTGTTGAGGGCATCATTATCTTCCAAATCAACCCTCAACTTCATGTTCTTTCTGTTGCCAATTTATGTCAATTTTGCCTTCATAATATTTCTGTCATCTGCCCCTTCTCTCCCCTGATACCACCACCACCCTGGTGCAAGCCCTCAACACCTCAAGCCTGGACTATTGCAATATTCTACTGGAGAATTCACCTGCCTCAAGTCCTTCACCAACTCCAGTCCACTAAGCTAAGCTATCAGATTAATTTTCTTAAATAACTGGCTATGTCACCCATCCCCATTCAGTAAACTACAGTGGTTCCCTATCACCTCCAGGACCAAATAACAAAATCCTGTTTCTGATTCAAAACCCTTTAAAATCTGCTAACCTCCTACATTCTCTTATTTGACTGTATTCTGCACATCCTCCCTAATGTGCTTATTCTGCAATACAGTGACACCAGATTCCTTGATGTTTCTCCCACAAGACACTCTATCTCTCTGCTCTGGACATTTTCACTGGCCATTATCTATGCCTGTAATTTCCTCCCTCCTCATCTTCACTTCTTGGCTTCCTTCAAATACTAGCTAAAATCCCATCTTCTACAAGGAGCCTTTTCTGATCCCCCTAAATGCTCACACTTTTCTTCTATTGATTATCTCTAATTTAATCTATGTATAATAGATGTGTGTGTGTGTGTGCATACACACACACACACACACACACACATTCATATGACTGATCCAATAGTACTGGATGCCCTGCCCATAGCAATGTGGGAGATCAGGGCAAGGCACTTCTCCTTGATCAGGATTAGAGAAATGGATCAAAGAATCTATGGTCAAATTTATTTTTATAGAAGAAACTTCATTCCAGAATTACCTGAAAAGAAAGTCTACAAGGTGATAAGTGAGGCCCAGTAGCATCCTTCCTTCTCTGGAGAGGGACAGCACCATGGGATTATTGTGAGGAAAGTACTTTTTAATCCTTAAAGTGCTGTATAAAATTGAATTATTAGCAAAGCCCAGTCCTCTGAGAAAAGGAAAATAAAAAAGAATGTACTATCTTCTTATGGAGACCCAGGTGGTAGCGTGGCCAGGGATGCTTGCCCACCTTGTGGGTCACACAAGCCAGTTTGTTCTGCTTTGATCCAGGGTGGCAAATATATATCAGATGCTGGCCAATAGAGATCTCTAATTCTGTCAGTAACCTTATAAGGAGATCATTTATTTCTGCATATCAGTGAGGTCACCATCTTGGTCATTACACAATATTG